TTAAAGATTTATTTATCTTTACTGGAAAGTCAGATTTACAGAGAGTAGACAGAAAGATATGTCCAATGATTCATTCCCCAAATGGCTGCAACAGCTAGAGCTGAGCCAATCCAAAGCCAGGAGCCAGGGGTCTCTTCTGGGTCTCCCATGAGGGTGCAGGGTCCCAAAGCTTTGGGCCGTCCTCTACTGCTTTCCCAGGCCACAAGCAGGGAGCTAGATGGGAAGTGGGTCCGCCAGTATTAGAACTGGCGCCCATATGGGATCCCGGCACATTCAAGGCGAGGACTTTAGCTGCTAGGACATCGCGCAGGGTCCCAAAAATACTTTTAAAAATAAAAGTTTTCATCCACTGGATCTTTCCGAAAATTACCTTTAACAGCCCAAACCGGTCAAGGCCAAAGGTAAGAGCCTGAAACAGCCTGATATCCCAGGTGGGGAGCCAGCCCTGCTGGGCTCAGGGTGTGCCTCCCGGAGGCAGGAAGCAGGAGCCCCGGGGGGCCTGGGTCTCTAACCTGCCGGGCCAACCCCGCCCCCACAGGTGTTTCTCAATCCCGTTGTCAGCGCATGAGCGCCCCCTTGTGGCGATTTTTGGAACTGGCCCCTATAGGCAAGCCTTTAGAGTCCACCTACCACCTGGTCTGCAGCCGCCAGCGGTGGGCTGGGGCTAGGGCTGGGGTCAGGGGCACGGAGCTCACCTTGACCTGCTCATTGGAGGTGACGGCACAGAAGACAATCTCCGTGAAGCCCTGGGTGGGGAACATGCGGAAGCAGATGCCACCAATGACCCGCCCATCCTTGATCAAGGCCAGGGTCTTGTGCTTCCTGGGAGAAAGAGAGCCTGGTCACCGCCTGGGGTAGGGTGGGGCGTGGATCCAGCCCCCAAGGGCTCCCTGGCTCCACCACTTTGCCAGGTCGGGGGACGCACGGGTCAAAGACCAGGCGGGCAATGTACTCCTTGGGCATGCGTGGCAGCTGGTGGGAGAAGACGTTCTGCAGGCCCACCAGCCACAGCAGCACCCGCCGGTTGGCTTTGGGTGTCAGCGAGTTGCCGATGACATGGAACTCAATGATCCCGCGGCGTTCCTCCAGGCGGGCCGTCTCATCCCGGGCAGCGTTGGCCGACAGTAGGCTCGTCTGGGAACACACGGGGGTGGTGAGCTAGGGTCTCCGGCTGCCCTCCCTCACTTGCTGGTGGGCAGATGGGCTGGTTGCCCACCTCGGGCCCCAGCATGGCAGCAGGGTCAGTGATGGTCAGCATGACCTCGTTGACCAGTTCCATGGGGATGTCGCCCATCACGCGGAGCCGCTTGGCGTCCTCCAGGGTCAGGTTCTCTGGGAGTTTCCTCTTCTCCCCTGCTGGTTAGGTTGGCAAGGTTGCCCAGGGACAAGCTGGCACAAGGATGCACAGAGGCAGCAGAGGTCAGGGGTGAGGCACGCACCTGGCATTGGCTCGGCTCCTGCAGAATCCAAACTCAGGGAACTGTTGCTGCCCCCACCCGTGGCAGGGCTGAAGATGGGGGCGCTGGGCACTGCGGTGGCACTGACTGTGGCTGAGTGAGAAACCAGGGCCGGGTTCGGGGAGGGAAGGCCAGGTGTTGGTAGGTCCCTCAAGGCAACCCAGGACTCCCACCCTGCTGAGCCCCATCTTCTGTGTTCTCCCATGCCTGCCAGCCCCAGGCTCAGCACAGCCAGAGAAGGCTGCTGTTCTACCTACCGGGCCGGGGCACCAGCTGTGTGCCCTCTGAGGGTGGCATGGTGAAGCCTGACTCCCAGATGGGAGAGTTTGCCCCGTATATCTCTTCTTCCAGCATGGACAGGAATCTGCAGGGAGGGTGTGATGGTCCATGACTCCACCTGCCCCGCCCCCCAGGCCAGGGGAGCCTGAGCCAGGCCCCTGGGAGTGTGGGGGGAGGCCGGAGGCATGCCGTGGTCACAGACCCCCCTCTGGCTTCTGGGAGGCTCTCATGGACACATGGAGACCACCAGTTTTGCCAGTGTGGGCACCACAGGGAGCCAGGGCCTGAGCGGACAGTCAGCCCAGGGCCCCTTGCTCCCTGCAGCAGCAAAGTGTGCTGGGGACCTACCCCGCCCTCCACCTCTGGATCCCACCTGGCGGAGAGGAGTGGGGGCACCCGGGGCTCTGTGCAGAGGTGATGAGCCGGTGTGTGTGTGTGTGTGTGTGTGTGTAGAGGACTGGAACAGGGGTAGAGATGTGTCACCTCGGGTGTCAGCTCTGGTTCCTTGGAGTGCTGTGCTGGGAAGGAACTTCTCTGGGGTTGGGTCCAGGCCCCCCGGAGGAAACAATTAGCATCGTGTACCAGGGTGCGGAAGGGGCAGCATTAGCCGAGGCCATGTACCTGCCATCCCCAGACTAGGCAAATACTAGCAAGCTGCTTCTGGACCATGGGCGAGTCTGCCAGGTAGATGCCCATATCCCAGAAGGCCCCTGGAGGGAGAAGAGGGACCGATCCAGGAAGGTTTCCTGGAAGAAAGGGGACAACAGCGAGGACAATGAACCTGGAATGCGGTCCCCAGGGGCAGGAAGGAGCCTTACTTGGGGAAGTGTGTGAGGATGAGGGTCCTTTTCTCTGGCACCAGCTTGTCCTTCTCCACCCGGAACTTCTCCAGCAGCTGCCGCCGGGTCACCGTGAAAATGGAACGGAGCAGGCTCCGCCCAAAGACGTGTGTGGTCTCGTAGCGAGGGAGGCTGTCGCAGCTCTGGGGCACGTGGCAGTAACACAGCCATCTGGGGTTCAGGGGACGACGGTGGGAACCACTGAATCCTCATGGGGTTTCCAAACTCGACCCCCCCACACCTTCACCCCCACTAGGCCTACCTGGTGTAGTTGACCTTGTATGTCGCCACATCCTCTGACTGGGACCTTTGCCGGAACTGAGCGGGCGTCTCCAGCTTCCAGTAGTTAAGGCAAAGCAGGAACATCTTGGAGAGTTCGAACATGGTCTGCCGCTCCCGGGGCGCCAGGTGACTAAACTTGTACTGCACGAAGTTCAGCACCCCCTGGGAAGGGGCAGGTGGGGGCGAGCCGGCAGTGAGGGGTATGCAGTCAGCTTTTTCAGCTGGGAGACCACGGGGTGCCCCTCTCTCTGTGCAGCGCCCCCTGCCCTGTCCCACCCACTACTCTCAGCCAGAGTAGGAGGGAGGACACAGCACCGTCCCTTCCCTGCAGTGACCCCCAGTTCTGCTCTGCTCACCATCCTCCCCCCATCACACACCTGCTCAATATTAGGCTTCTCAAACGGGGGGCTGCCCAGGGACCCCTCCACCACGGGCCGGGTCATCTGCAGGATACACTTGCGCAGTAGCTGGCGGAAGAAAGCGGGGGAAGAACTTCAGGACTCAGCGCAGGGACCCTCCCCACTACACCTCAGCCGCTCATCCCCGCTGGCCGGCGCGGACCCTCACCTTGAAGAGGTAGAAATAGACCTGCTTGGTGTCCGTGTCTTCCTCCTTGTGAACGGACATGAACAGGTTCTCCACGTCCACCACCATGCCCAGCAGCCGGTTCACCTCATCTTCGGACACGTTCTCCAGGTGCGACACGTGGTCGGCTGCAGGGGGGCAGCCAGCAGGGTTGGGAAGAAGGGACAGGGGAAATTGACACGACTTCCTTTCCTCATCAGGGTGCACCTGACCCCCTACCGCATGCCTCCCTAGGAGTTGCCCTGATTTCCCAGAGCTGACTTCCTGGGGCAACCTGCCTTACCCAAGGGGTGCTCACAGCTGCGGCACAGTTCGCCCAGGTTAGCTGCCGGCTGCTGGAGGTCCATGCGGGGAGCAGTGGGGGGCTTGGGGTTTTTCCAGCCATTACATTTGCAGGTTTCATTGGCCTGGAGGCAAGAGACCAAGTCAACCGGCGCTGCACCCCAGGGACAGGAGTTGCTCAGCCTCCAATGTATCGCTCCCCCACTCCCACCCAAGCCCAGGGATGCCCCCGGGCCCCGCCCCTTTCACCGTAGGCCCCGCCCCCACCTTGCAAGCAGAGAAGACCCCTAGCTTCTCAAGCTTCTTGGCGCGCGGGAGTCCCCGGACCTGCGCCTTCCTCTGGCTGGCACGCTGCTGCTGGCTCAGGCCAGGTCGCGCCGGATCCCCCCCACTCCCGGTTCCCCCACTTCCTACTCCGGGCCCTCCAGTCCCTGTGCTCCCGGCCGGCGCTGCAACTGGGGCAGCGGCTGGTGCCGGCGTGGGAGCCGGGGTCGGGGCTGAAGCGGGGCTGGGCGCAGGAGTCGGAGCTGGAGTAGGGGCTGCGGACTGAAGGGGCCGGGGCTGCGCGGTCGGAACCGGGGCCGGGGCCTGGGAGGGTTCCGCCATGGCCTTCCCCGCAGCGGAGCGGCGCCGCGCTCCCAGCCCTAGGGCCGCATGGGCAACCGGCGCGCAGTGCGCAGACGCCGCCTGCCGATGCACGATGGGAGTTGTAGTCGTCCTCCGCCGCGCCCCAAGACTGCGGCTTCCAGACTTTTCCGTCCTGTGTCTTGCTGCTGGACAGCTGAGGGCGCAGGGGGATGCTAGACCGCGCTTCGTCCCTTCCAATTTCTCTGGAAAGCATCCGAGAACGTTAACGGTTGTTGCGTTCTTGGGGACGAGGAGCATCCTAGGAAATAGGCGCCCGTTTGGGGGGGGCTGTGCGCAGCCCCTGCCACCCCACCCCCACGGGCGCCGAGGCCCCGGTCCACGCGGCCCAGAAGTGGGGCTGCAGCCACGCAGGGGAAGCCTTGTGGAAGCTGGGACTGCCCCGGGACATGGTGGATGCCTGGGATGTTCACTCCGGGTAATGCACCTGTTCCATTTTGTGTACCTCGTGTCGACTGGGAGAAGAGTGTGAAAGGCAGGGCCAGGTGCTGGGAATAGAAGAGGGTGCGCCAGGGCCGCCCGAAAGTGACGGAAGTCAAAGGGGACCAGTGCATGGGGCGGGGTGAGCTGCGCTCAGGAGGACACCCCCCCTCCCCCCCGAGAACCCACACGCGTGCCCCAGCTTGGAGCCTCGAGCCCCCGGTCAGCAGTTGCTCTCTTGGATGCAGCGGGTCAGCAGCAGTTTGTCCAACGGGAGCCGGGCGACATCCAGGAGCCCCAGCGTAGCCCTCGCTGGACGGAGCCAGGTGGCCACACTGCCGGTGCAGCTGCTGAGGGACAACCCGGCTGCTGTGCAGGACCATGGCCGGGCTGAAGACAATTTTCAAATGAAGATGGACGCGCAGGGCTTCGCCCCTGAGGAGCTGGTGGTGCAGGTGACCGGCCAGAACCTGATGGTGACGGGCCAGCGGCAGCGGGAGTATGGCAACCCAGCCATGGGCGGTTACCGCATGGAGCAGAAGGTGCAGCGGCAAATGCAGCTACCGCGGGACCTGGATCCCGCAGCCATGACCTGCTGCCTGACCCCCTCCGGCCAGCTGTGGGTCCGAGGCCAGTGCGGGTCACTGCCTCCCCTTGACACCCAAGCAGGTCCGTCCCCGCCAAGACTCCGGGGCCACAGCCCTAAGAAGGGTCCCAACTTAGCCTGATCTAGTAAACCACCACCAAGTGCAGCAGCCTTCCTTGTCACTGTTGTCATCTCTGGGAATGGGGACAGAGGTAGAGAGGACAGGAAAGGAACCCGGAGGGCCACGGAGAAGCTGGCCACTGTGGCCGGGCCGCAGAGCAGCTCCAGCAGCTCCAGCAGGGGGCAGCAGAGGGCTGGGCATGCTGGGGGCCAGGAGGGACAGTTGGGAGGCTGTGGAGCGAAGGCCCTGAGGACAGGTGCTAAGTGGAGGCAGGCGCTGTAGACAGACACAGCAATAGAGACCACTGATACAGCCCACAATCTGGGGAGGGCAGGGAGTCAGGGGTGGTGGACAAGCCAGTAAGGAACCTCAACTGTAGCGTCTTGGGCAGCCTCCCCCACCCCACACCCTGGAGCTGCCAATAGCACCACCTTTCTCTTGGTGATCATGACCCAGCTCCCTGGCATAGTGGGGGCAACTGTTGTTAACAAAACTTGGGCTCAGCTGAAAGGAACATCATGTCAGGAATATCTGATAAACTCCAGAGAGAAAAGACAAGCGTGAGGTCCACTGATCGGCTGACTATATTGACAAGATACTGATTGGTTACATGTTGAAGAAAACATACAATACAAAATACAGAAAAAGTTGGTTCCATCCCCTCCCGCTCCCCCCCTCTCCCACCCACCCCCAAATACTCATCATCGTGATTTGGTCGGAACCGGGCTCAGAGCCAGAGGTTGGGGTGACCGAGGGTGGAGGGGTCATGGGCAATGGGCTCGTGGCTGTCACGGTAATGCTGTGGTAATGCTGCGGGGTCTCCCCGAGTGGGGCGCCAGGGGCCTGAGGCCAGCCACTACGCAGGGAGGAGCTGCCATTCCGTCCCCTGTCCCGAGGCTTGCCCCACTGCCCCCAGCCAAGGGAGACGGCTCCACATGAGGGGAGGGCGTGGATGCTCCTGTGGAGTCGGCTGCTGGACGGGAGGGAAAGGAAGGGAAACCACTCCAACCCCTCGTCCCTGTGCCCTTGGACAAGGGCGGGGTCCGGGAGCACATGGCTACTCCCAGCAAAGGACAAGTGGGAGACCAGCAGAGAGGGGAGGAAGTGGGAAGAGCAGATCATATATATTAAAAAAGTGACTTAAGACTTAAAATTGAATTAGTATTTGTACAGAAAGGTGCGGGTGGAATAGCTCACTCCGGCCTATGATCAAAGTTACATAGAGAAATCATGGTGGAGCCTCTCCCTGCCCCCAGCGGCCCGAAGCGTTAAGTGCGATTGGTTAGAGTGGATTCCAGTCGGGTCATCCAGGCGGAGGAGGCGGGAGCAGTGGGCAGGCAGAGGGCTCAGTTGCTGCAGCACTGGCTCCGGCTGGCTGGGTTGTTCTCCTGGAGGTCCACACCCCGGTTCCGGCCTGGAGCACCAGCTGCATTCTGGGGCTCGTTCTTGGGAAGCTTCTTGGCTGTTCGCGAAAGGAAGGGGAGATGCCTGTGTGGAGTCTTGCAGTCCCCGCCCCCAGTCCTGCTGTAGCCCAATGCAGCCTTCACCACCCATCTGAGGTGAGACCCTGAGGGCTTCGGTGTGCAAGGTACAGTCTTGGAATTCTGGGAAATAGGTGAAATAATCCAGAAGTAGGGGGTCTGGACTAGTATTGGTTTAATCAGTGCCTAGAATGCCTGAGCCCAGTTCTGGACAATTTCAGTTCAAGTCCCAGCTCCACCCCTGACCTCAGCTTCCTAAAAGCATGTATCTTGGGACGCAACAGGTGTGCTGGATACAGCACTTGGGTCCCGGCTGTTGCACTCACTTTGGGAGTGAATCACTGGACGGAAGATCTTTCTCTCTACCTCTCCTCCTCTCTGTATATCTGACTTTGTAATAAAAATAAAATAAATCTTAAAAAAAAATAAATAAAGTCCTCGCCTTGAACGCCTCAGGATCCCATGTGGGTGCCAGTTCTAATCATGGCAGCCCTGCTTCCCATTCAGCTCCCTGCTTGTGGCCTGGGAAAGCAGTCCAGGATAGCCCAAAGCCTTGAGACCCTGCACCCGCGTGGGAGACCTGGAAGAGCTCCTGGCTCCTGGCTTCAGACCGGCATGACACTGGCCATTGCAGTCGTTTGGGGAGTGAATCATCGGATGGAAGATATTTCTCTGTCTCTCCTCCTCTCTCTATAATTGATTTGCAATAAAAAGAAGTCTTTAAAAAAAAATGCCATGGGAGCCCCAGCCTACCCCAACCCACAACTATGTGCCTGCGGTGGTGGAGTGGTGCGCGGAGGCAGGAGGGCCACTCACCTATTGCCATGAAAATTTCATTCACGTTAATTGCAGTCTTTGCTGAGGTCTCCATGAACAGCAAACTGTTGTCGTCTGCATAGGCTTGTGCGTCCTGATTTGGATGGAGATGAGGAAGGGAGTGAGAGGGAAATGTCTGCAGCTGGCAGGGGCTGGGCTTTGGATAACAATCTCCTTGGTGCCCAGTGCGTTAGGCCCACTAGAGACTGGTAGAACTGAGGCTGCCAGGCCTATGACACCCTGTCCAGGATCCCAAGACACCTATGCCACCTCTGGGCACCTCTCTGCTCACACACACTGGCATGTCTTACTAGGGCTTCCCTAGGTTCACTCTGCTCTTTCGCGCTTCAACATCACCAGGTTGGGGCTGGCACTGCTGGCACTGCAGAGCAGTGTTCCAGAAATGCCTCTGCCTGTGAGGCACCATCCGGTGTCCTAGCTGCTCCATTTCTGATCCAGTTCTCTGCCCAGCCCTGGCCTGAGAAAACCAGAGCAAGATGGACAGAGTGCACTCCTCCCACTTTCCTCCCCCAGGGAAACCCAGATAGAGCCCCTAGCTCCTGGCTTTGGCCTACAGCCAGCTGGGGATTGAACCAGTGGATGGAAGCTTTCTCTCTGTTCCTTGCCACTTTGCCACAAATAAACCTTTTTTTTTTTTTTTAATCACTAGGTTAAGAACTACTCCTAGAAAGTGATCCTGAAAACACAGCAGCCCATCTGAACACAGGCACAGGAGGACACATGAGTGACTACGGCACCATCTCTGCTCTTCTGCTGCTACAAATCACCCAGAAGCCCTTCAATTATGGATGGGCAAAAAAACAAATGACAACACAGAGTGCATAGCACACACCCGTCAGTGTGGAGAGGAGTCACATAGAACATAGGCTATCGCCAAGACAGGAAACTGTGTCACAGTAAGGGAGACGGCGACTGACTGAGCTTCTGGGACTGGAGCAAACTTGAGTGTCATCTTCTTTGCACCGCTGAGATTTTACTATGTGCATATATTATATGAAAAATGTACCCCTGGGGCTGACGCAATAGCTCAACTGGCCAATCCTCTGACTTGCAGCACCGGCATCCCATATGGGTGCTGGTTCGTGTCCCAGAGGCTCCACTTCTCATCCAGCCTCCTGCTTATGGCCTGGGAAAGCAGCAGAGAATGGCCTAATGCCTTGGGATCTTGTACCTATGTGGAAGACCTGGAAGAAGCTCCTGGCTTTAGATTGGCTCAGCGCCAGCCACTTGGGGAACAGAAGATCTTTCTGTTTTTCCTTCTTTCTGGAAATTTGCCTTACTGACGGGAATAAGTATTAAAAAGAAAAGGAAAGTGTATTCCAGTGGGTGTCATAGTGTGCTGGGTTAAACTGCTGTGTGTGAGGCTGGCATCCTGTGCTGGAGGGCTACTTAAATCCCAGTTATTGGATTCCTGCCAGTCCCTGCAAGTGTACCCGGAAGGCTGAAGATGGTGGCCCAAGGAGTTGGTCCCCAGCATCCATGAGGGAGACCCTAACAGAGTTCCAGACCCCGGGCTTTCACCTTGCCTGGCCCCGGCTGTTACAGGCATTTGGGGAGACAGCCAGTTAATTTAGTATTACACTCTCTCTGTCACTCTTTCAAGTAAACAAACCATCCTTTAAAAAAATACTCCTTTTTCAATAAGTCTCTAATTAAAAATCAAATAAATGCACCTAACAATGCTTGTACTCACTGTCTCAAAAATACACACACTCACATGCCAAAGCTCCTGAAGGGAGACATGGGCGACAGACAGTCCTTCTTAGGCCCATGCTGGTGCCATGTTCAGTGCAGGAAAGCTCCCTGCTGCCTCCTCCCATGGCCTCCCAGAGGCCCCTCGTGGGAGCCACAGCCGGAGGTGGGGATGGGGGGCTCCCTACCTGGAACTCCACGGCTCTCTTGCTGGCCAGGTCTGCCTTGTTGCCTGCGAGTGCAATGACGATATTGGGGCTGGCCTGCCTCTGTAACTCTTTCACCCAGTTCTTGGCCCGTGCAAATGTGTCCTGAGGAGACATGACCAGAAAGTCAGGGGGAGAGCCCAGTGGGCCCCACCCAGTATTCAAGATGGGGCTATATAAAAATAGCATGCTGCGGAAATGGCCCCAAACATCAGAGAATGCATGCCCACATCCCATATCCCACCTAGGGATGGTCCAAGATGCCTGAAACGGGGACTCTGGTGTCCTCCTTTTCAGGGCTCTGAGACGAGAAAGAGGAAGGGTGAGGGGAGAAGGTGCTTACTGTGTTGGTGATGTCATATACCACAATGGCAGCCTGGGCCCCCCGGTAGTACATTGGGGCGAGGCTGTGATACCGCTCCTGGCCGGCTGTGTCCCAGATCTCGAACTTCACCGTCGTGTCGTCCAAGCAGACGGTCTGTGTGAGAAAGGCCGCTGGAGGGAAGAAGGCGTGTCACCAGGCGAGGACAGGTTGGAAACCACCCTGGGTCTGTACTGCTGCTCTGGGCTCCGCCTGGGCACTGGACACTGGGCACCAAGCAGGAGAAAGCCCTACCCGTAGGCTCAAGGGGTAGAGCCGAGGGCACAGCAGGCAGTTCCCGGAGGGGCTGGCCTCTGGCCTCAGCGCAGAGACCACTCGGGATGCCAACATCCCTCCCACACAGGGGCACCTGGCTTGGCATCCAGCCTCCCTCTCAGCTCTTGATCCCAGCCCTCTGCTGATGTGTACCCTGGGAGGCAGGAAGAGACAGCTCAAGCAGT